TTAAACATATAAGCCTACATGATTGATTTAAAAATTCCTTGTATTAAACTCCTTAATAAATATTATTTAAATGATGTGATTTTGTAATGCCAATGCCTGCCGTGTCATTGCCACATAGGCACTACATTGGACTCGTGGATTGTCCAATTAGTTTTAGCAGACAAAGTTAATTCATATTTTGATGTGATACAAATTTTTGAGTTAGTATATGATTTTGATATAAATTTGAGTTCATGTGTGATTTTGTTATATGAGGTAAATTTCATGTATGCTTTTGAAGCAAAAGGTAAAGTTCCATTCGAAAATTAATTGAGAAGAATCTACCAAGGCATTGATACTTAGATAATTTGTTTATCAAGTTGATTGTTCAATCAACTTTAACTAGTGGAAGTTAATTCGTGTATGGATGCAATACAAGTTTGCAAGTTCACATGTGATTTTGATACAAAGTTGAGTTCATATATACATGTTTAATGCATAAAATAAAGTTTATTTATTGTTCGCATAATTAACCTACAAGGATACAGGTCAAGTAAAGTTGAAAAATATAAATGAAGATTTAAAGTTTTAATACCATGTTAAAATATTTATCTCAAATTAATTAAAAACCATATTTTGATTTGAAAATTTTGATATTAATGTTTGATGTTATCGAAGTCTCTATCCTTTTCACCCCTACCCCGGCGCCCCGATCAACAAGTTTTTAGTTAACAATAATTAAAGATATGTCAAAATATTCTTAAAATATAATTTACAAATATAGTTAGAATATTTGATTATATTCCATTCTTTTTGTAACCAGAATACTAATTTTAGGTTCAGTAGTAAAGTAAGAAAAGTTGATAAGCACTAGGAAATATTAAGACCCTATTTTAATCTAGATAAAAAAATAAATTTTTAGTAGGTTTTGATAAAAATCGATGAAATATATAATTAAAAAGTTGTATATCTCATAAAAAAATGGGGGATAATTAATTTTAATTTTAATTTAATCGAAACTTTTAGCTTAATCAAATATGAAACTTTAAAAAAAAAAAACTATAATCTTTTTATACTGTACATTAATGGTTGTACAAAATATAAAATAAAAAGGGTATCACAAAATAAATACGTGTTAATAGTAGACTCCACATGAATGTGGGCCCATTTTTCTTTGGTTAGTATTAGCCACTCATTCTCGTGTGGGTCCGACTTACCTTCTAGATCTGGACCTCATTGGTAGCTCTATCTAAAAATGTCAAATGGGCTGAGCGGTTCGTCGACTTGTTAAAACGGACTCGTGGGCGGTTCGAGCTCGTCATTTAGTTGAGTAGGGGGCTCAATCCCACGAGCCATTTTGACGAGCCCACGAGCTCTGCTCAGCTCAAAAATATGAATTTTTTTTTTAAAAGGTGCAAAAATGTGGAAAAAAAATTAAAAAAAACACGAGCTCGCGAGTAGTTCATGGGCTCGGCTCGGCTCGCCACGAGTCCAAGCCAAGCTTGTGGGTTAAAGGGCCGGCTCGGCCCATTGCCATCCCTAGCTCTATCGCCACCGTAAAAAAAACACAAAGCATCATTAACAATTATTGACGAGCCCGAACCAAGCTTGTGGGTTAAAGGGCTAGCTCGGCCCATTGTCATCACTAGCTCTATTGCCACCGTAAAAAAAACACAAAGCATCATTAACAATTATTAATTACATTACTGGATAATTTCATTTTGTGCCTCTTCTTTGTGACTAATATCATTTTGCCCACTTAGGAACAGTGGACAAGTACAATTCTTTTTACAGTATCTAATTTGTAATGACATGTGGTTTTTCGAGACTTAAATAAACCCATATTATTATTGGTAGATTTATTATTACTCGTGAGAAAATAAGTTTCATATTTGTTATATAAAAACTAGAAGTCCAATCTTCAAAATATTTCTCTAATTTACCAAATGAAATATAGAGTTGTGTGGAAAATCTAGAATTCAAATTCACATTCAGTTAATTCGAAATTTCTATATCTCGTACTCGTTGTATCCCGTCATGAACGAGGACACCTCGGAGAACATGTAGCGCTAACATTCAAGTTGGCACACTTGAAGGAGAATGACACACGATGAAATGCCATGCCTGACCTTGGAAAGGGGAAATTAAGGGAAAGGAACCCATCAAACGCAACTAAAAATAATCTTATATCTGAAAAGAAGGATTGACTTTGTAACAACTTTGAAGCAACCTAATGATTACATTAAATCCCACTTGCGTCGCCACCAATCTCAAGGACAAATTGCAAGCTTTGGAAAGACACGCTAGGGTTGGATGGCACTCATAATAATCATTATATCCCTGTGATCGTCCCTTTCCACCAATAAGAAGTTGTAGCTCAATTTGACAATGGCGAATACAAGGAAGGGTATTCTTTTTAAAGCAAGGCTTTCCTTTCCATTTGAGATGCTCCCCCAAAAAAAAAAAAAAAAACAACAACAACAAGAGAGAGAGAGAGAGAGAGAGAGAGAGAACTTAAAGATCCGATTATTCCAAATAGCTTCCTCTTCGTACCAAATTTACTTAGAAGTCACCAAAAACCACACAATTTTCATCTTAGCATAATTAATCACTTTAAGTTGATTAAAAGGTATCATGTCACTTTTACAATCAATAGTTTGACGTTAAGAAGTAGGGTTTCTACCTTTGTAGCCATGCTAAAAAAATCCTATAGAAAAGCTGTCTCTCAAAGACTCACTTAAGTACATATCTCATAACAAAAATAAGCTAAAACAAAGTTCAAGGAGCCAGAATCACACAAGAATGAGAACACGAAATATCGAAATTTTGGTCAACTTTAAAGGCATTACGTCAGAGAAACTGATGACTGCCTTTATGGAATCATTTGAGAGCCTAACCAATGATTTCCATCAAATTGAATAAAATCGGACCACTTAACTTTGACATATGAATTTTGCTATTTGTACACTAATGTGCCCCTCACATGAGGGAGGGGCCCATGTTCAATAAAAAAAGCGTGGGCCCCTTTGTGTGAGGGGTGTGTATACCATCATGCAGGGGCGAATCCAGATAGTTGGAATTGTGGGTCAAAAATGAAAATTCAAAATTTTTTCGAATAACGTATTATGAACGAAAATAAGACCATATGCTATTTGCAAAGTCACGACTCACGAACAAAATTCTAGAAAGTCAGAAGAGCCAAGAGCAGGAGTCTAGGACTGGAAGAAAAGGCAAAATATGTCATTTGCTGTTTGCACTTTGGGAAAAATTGTAAATGAATTGGGAATGGGTAAATGGGATTATATTTATGGTCTATGGAGTAATGGATATGGACATTGGACCATATGATATGGATGTATGATTTAAGATTTGGGTTTTTTTGGACATTGGGGTAGGGAAATTAATTGGGTTGGCTGTTGGCAGACTTGGCACAATAAGGGTAAGTTACGTTCTCGGGAGGGAAAAAAATCCAAGCAATTGTCATTTGACCCCACATGACCCCATGTGGGTCCGTCCCTGCTGGCATGTCAATTTCGGTGTACGTGTAGCACAATTGTTGATATATTGATGATGTATTATCTTTCGGAATAGCAATTGAATTTTTCTTTTATGATATTAATATAAAGCGTGATTCTTCTAAAGCAATAATGCAAATATTTTAGAAATATTAATCTACGTAAAATTATTCTTCATTCAATAGAATATCTTCTAAAATATTGATATATTATATAAAATTTTGATTTCTTGAAGGATAATAGAATAATATTCTTCTTGAATATATTCATATTTGGGTTCTGTTCTTCACAAACATTAACACCATCGTTTTCTAGAATATTGATACGATACTTATTGAGATGATATTTAGTTATGCTTCTTCATAAGCATACACATAGTTAAATATTACACATGCAATGTATGGAAAAAGAACTTTTTAGCGAATGAATTCGTTGTAGTAGGAAGATGACAATTATTGAAGAAGTTTTCTTATTTGATAAATGTAGAAAACTTTGGGTAGTTTATAAATTTTACAGCGCAGATTTGATTTATTTCTTGTTTGTAAGATTTGACTCATGCTTTTATGTGGTTGATGTTTTCATGTATTCTTATGAAACAACTTTAGAGGTATATGGACCTTCTTAAGAAAAAGATTGAATGGACTATAAACTAGTTGATAAAAAATACATACTTTTGGTGTACTATGTGAAAGTGATTTGAATAGTATTTTTGAACATATACAAAATTAAAAACAAAAGATAAATATAAGAGAATCATAAGTAACCATATTTATAGGATTTCAATGAATTACAATTTAATCAAAATACAAACTTCTAATATAAGCAATATTTATTTAAGTATCCTAATAAAACTAAACAATCATCAATAATTATCTCATAATTTTACAACTTAAATATTATTTCATTGCTAAATTGATTTTTTAGTTTCAAATAAAGTACATCATGGAGCAATTAGACTCGTAGTTAACTCTCTGGATGTTGATTGGCCTAGGCCATGTGTTGGGCCTTTCCCTTAAGGCTCGTCCGTAGGAACGACATGCAAGCATGACAAACTAATGAATTTTCAATCATACTACTGCACAATGGATTTGATAACAAATTTAACAATTTGTGAGTTGGCAGGCATCATGTCCATTGATTTGATTTTTTTTTTTTGAATTCAATTGTTAGGAACGACATGCAAGCATGACAAACTAATGAATTTTCAATCATACTACTGCACAATGGATTTGATAACAAATTTAACAATTTGTGAGTTGGCAGGCATCATGTCCATTGATTTTATTTATTTATTTTTTTTTTGAATTCAATTGTTAGGATTTTTACAATTTACACCATTGTCAAACTCATTGTACAAATAGATTAATTCATTAATTTTTTTTAAAAAAAAAGAATTGTGTGTAATTTCAGAACTATTTCGGCTCACATTGTTATAAAATTCAAATATAAGGACCAAAGTGTAAAACTACCTTTTAAGGTTAATAACAAAACAAAGGGTTGCTTGGGTATGCTCGATCTATGTATGCAAGGATTAAATACTTCTGATATATATTTACATTTCCATTGAGAGAGATTTTTGATGATCGAATTTTGCATCTATTGGGCATTTCCCTCGTCAATCTCTGCTAACCTTTGCTCTTTTATAATTTTTTCAGGGTTTACAGTGAAAGAAAAGCATAAAGATACGGGCTTTCCGGATCGTTGAATCAGTGTTCTCATCAACTGATGTTTTTGGTAAGAGATTTAGTTTTCATTCGATATTAAATTAAAACAATTTTAAGAATTTAGCGTATTCTTTAAATCAGTTAATTACTTCTCTTTTTTGGTTAAATTAATGAACTTTTTCGATTTATTAAAGATTATGTTCTGATGTAATGAAACTTTGATCTTGGAATTAAATCGTTTCTGCGAACCCTTTCTTTCCTGCCCTATAGTGTAGCTATTCGGTGCTGTTTCAGCGTCATAATCTTTATTGCTTGTTAGAGTATCAACTTTTTTAGTGTTTCCTTACATTTGAAGCATTCTTATGCTTGATTTGAGAGTTTAATTACTATTTACAGTCATAAATTGGGGCTTTCTGAAGTTTGAACATAATTTAGCCTGTCTTTGGCCCTTCGTTGGTTAACCTACTACATTGTTTATGCTGTGATTTCTTGATCCAGGTGCAGTTGAATTATACTGTTGTTTAAAGTTAAATGAGCAAAGATGAAGTCTCACTTAACATCTAGATCTGCTGAATTCAGTAATTTGAGGAATCTTCACGATGACTATATTAGAAAGGGATGTTTATAATTTATTAATGGAATATACATTTATTTCTGATTCTAGATTTTGTAGCGCATGTCTAAGTGTGGTATCTGCTTATGTGCATTGTTTCCAAGACTCGGAGTTGTACTCGAGGTAACGGAGATCAGTTTAAAGAGTCAAAGGGAGATCAGTTTGATAGCCTTTTTATCATGAATTTGATATTGATGTGGGTTATTGGTTAATTTGAATGTGCATATGATTTACGTAGTTCATTATCATGCATTTATGACATTTTAACAAAAGTAGAACAAAAGGGCAAATGCATAGTGTAATTTCTTGTATCTCTACTAAATATGACTATTAAATGTTTCAGGGCTGTGATGGCAATCAAATTCAATTCAGGAGACAGTAGGACTAGGAGTTCTGTTTCAATTTTTATTGTAGCTGGTTTATGCTGTTTCTTCTATTTACTGGGAGCATGGCAGAGAAGTGGTTTTGGGAAAGGAGACAGTATAGCATTGGAGATGACCAAGAGTGGAGAAAACTGCAATATTCTCCCGAATCTCAATTTTGAGACCCATCATGGTGGTGAAGCCGGAACCATTGACGATTCTGATTCAGAAGTGAAAGTTTATAAGCCATGCACTTCTCGCTACACGGATTACACTCCTTGCCAAGATCAAAGGCGTGCTATGACCTTTCCAAGGGACAATATGATATACCGTGAGAGACATTGCCCTCCTCAAGAAAAGAAGTTGTATTGCCTTATTCCAGCACCTAAAGGTTATGTTACCCCATTTCCATGGCCTAAAAGTCGTGATTATGTTCCCTATGCCAATGCACCTTATAAGAGCTTGACAGTCGAGAAGGCTATTCAGAACTGGATTCAGTATGAGGGCAATGTGTTCAGGTTCCCTGGTGGAGGAACACAATTTCCTCAAGGAGCTGATAAATACATTGACCAGCTTGCTTCAGTAATACCAATTGAAAATGGAATAGTACGAACTGCATTGGACACTGGTTGCGGGGTATGATGAGTGCTGCAAAACTCACGTTGAATAATTAATGCACTTCCTTTTATACTTCTCTTCGAAGTTCTTTTTCCAATAACCTTTTGAAAATGGGTTATCGTGTTAGGTTGCAAGTTGGGGTGCATATCTTTGGAAGAGGAATGTTATAGCAATGTCGTTTGCACCAAGAGATTCCCATGAAGCCCAGGTTCAATTTGCTCTTGAAAGGGGAGTACCTGCTGTTATTGGTGTTCTTGGAACAGTAAAGATGCCATACCCATCTAGAGCTTTTGATATGGCGCACTGTTCACGGTGTCTAATTCCTTGGGGAGCTAATGGTAAGAATCAAATGTTAATTATCTTTTTCTGTGAATCTTCTGTAGACAAACCAAACTGATATATATCATATTGTAATTCATAGGCCATTAATCAAATTCCTAAACATGAACCAACATATTCCTCTCATTGTAAAAGGACCATATCTAATCAAGCTGTGTATCATTTTTTCATTTAACTAGATTATTTCTGCTGAACAGCTTGTCATAAATTATTTATTTATTTTTCTCTCTTATTGCAGATGGTATATACATGAAGGAAGTTGATAGGGTTCTTAGACCTGGGGGCTACTGGGTGCTTTCAGGCCCTCCCATCAATTGGAAGACTAACTACAGAGCATGGCAACGTCCTGAGGAGGAACTTCAGGAAGAGCAAAGGAAGATCGAAGAGATTGCTAAACTTCTCTGCTGGGAGAAGAAGTCTGAGAAGGGTGAAATTGCAATATGGCAGAAGAGAATGAATGCTGATTCATGTCGTTCCTCACAAGAAAATTCTGGAGCTACATTTTGTAAAGCTGAAGACCCTGATGATGTCTGGTAAGCAGTTACCTTGTACGTGTGTGCATATGAACTCATGGGTTTCTGATATGTAAAGAAACTTTAATTTTTTTACCTTAGAGTAGTTGCATTGTGGATGCACACACTCCTTAAAGTGCCTCAAGTTGCATATTCTTTGTAGGAAGAAAGATTCTAAACTGAATCATTGATGTACTGTCTTTTGGGCATATTAGGTACAAGAAAATGGAGCCGTGTATTACTCCATATATCAACGCCAACAGAGATGAAGATTCCAGTGTGGATGTCAAGCCATTCCCTGAGAGGTTATATGCTGTCCCCCCTAGAATTGCTAGTGGGTCTGTTTCTGGGATCTCTGTTAAGGAATATCTGGAGGACAACAAGAAATGGAAAAAGCATGTGAGTGCATATAAAAATATCAACAAAATCATTGACACAGGAAGGTACCGCAACATTATGGATATGAATGCTGGATTGGGAGGATTTGCTGCTGCTCTGCAATCTCCCAAATTTTGGGTTATGAACGTTATGCCCACTATTGCCGAGAAGAATACCTTGGGTGTGATATATGAAAGGGGACTTATTGGTATTTATCATGACTGGTAAGTCTTCTTTACGTTTCTAGTCTTTATAATAATATGAGCATCTTATATTTTGGCTTGCCATCAGTTCACTTTGTCACTCGATATTTGAAGTTTTTAACTTAGGAAGCACTGACACAGACACAAATGTTGGACATGATACACTCGTACATGCTGACTCGCAATTTTTCAAAACAGTATTGACACATCCTAGACATGCTGATTAAAAATATTATATCATATTTTTCATTTTTCCATATTGTGAAGCAATTTTTTTTAATTAATTTCGGCCTGTCGAAAATGTATCTCTTGGTGTGTCGGCAATATGTCCAAATGATGTGTCACTTTTGATGCAGTTAAGCTTTCCATGTTTTGGCTAGCACTAATATCACAGAAACTCATGAATTGGACCTGTGATAGGCTGTTGTCCTATTGTCGTGTACTTGAAATTCTCGGGATAAAAATGATTGCCGTGTGCATTTTTTTTCCCCCAAGCATCACTATGTAGTGTAAGTTTTATGGGCTCATTCAGTGTTGACTATTGAGCATCCTGTTACATTTGAACCTGAAAATAGATGTTCTTTTGCTCATTGTAAATTTTCTGATTTAGGTGTGAAGCCTTCTCTACGTATCCAAGGACGTACGACCTCATCCATGCTAATGGTGTTTTTAGCTTATACAAAAATAAGTAAGTTACCTTTACATGACAATTTTGCTTTCCTTTGAGAAATGGATGCTTGATAGAGATTAAGGGTCTTCTTCCATGGCATCACGTTGGGGCAAGCCTTTGTTTTGATAAATCTGATGCCATATCGTGTCATTTTTTAATTTCAAAATGTGAATCTTAATGGTGTCTACCTTTAACTTTGATCAACTCGTTACAGGTGTGACTTTGAAGACATTCTTCTAGAGATGGACCGGATACTACGGCCAGAAGGTGCAATTATCTTCCGAGATGAAGTGGATGTGCTCGTCAAGGTGAAAAAGATAATAGGAGGTATGAGATATGACTCGAAGTTGGTAGATCACGAGGACGGTCCTCTTGTCCCCGAGAAAATACTGGTTGCTGTTAAACAATATTGGGTGGGCAACTCCACTTCAGTGTAGTGAAAAGCCAGTGCAATATCAAAGCAGGACTAGCAGTCGACTGGATTCCGAGGAGCTATTCTTTATCCCTTGTACAACTCCATAATTACAAGGTTCATTAAGCCGCAAGAAAATTTTTGCAAGTGGATGTGGCTTGATTGGCTCCAACTGATCAAACTGTACCTGTAACATTAACATTTATTCATCATTTTGAGCTTCTTTTACAGTGATGTCCCTAGTCTTGCTAGAACTATAGAATTATTTTAAAAACTCTAGGAACAAAGTACTAGATATTTCCATTTCCATTTCCATTTCCATTTCCATTTGGTAATTTGTTGAAACTATTTACAAATCTGGGAGCAATGGCTGTTCAGTGTGGACAATTATCAAAATCAACTATATTTCACTAAGGTCTTGACTTGGCTACTCATTTCTTTTCAGTATTTCTTTGCCTGGGAAATAAGTCTTTGGATTAGTGATTTTTTTTGGAGAATGTGCTGTTGAAAAGTATTAAATTTACGTGTACAGTATTTTATTGCGAGAAAATATGGTTGAAAATGAGTTAAAAATAAAAAAAAATGAACTTGTATCAAACAATGGCTTATATTACTCAAAAATAATACAAGGATTGTGTCTATGTTAACATTTTTCCTCGGATTTTTAGTATATATGTAGACGTATAACTCACAAAACATCTAGCCAAACTGCCAACATAATAGAGAGTAAATATCGAAATGGCTAGAATCCTGAGGTTGCAAGGCAAACCGGTATATAACTCACAAATTAGCAAAACATCCTAAGGATTTCGATTATAGTTCATTATGTGATCGTTTGGGACAACGGGTACTTGAGATATTTCGGCACGAGACTCATTTTATTTCGACATGTTAAACATAGCATTTAGTAGCAATAAATAATGAATTGAGGATTCAGAAGTGGAGTTCCAACAAGTAGGGCAGAATTAAAGTGACTTCTTTGTAAACTAAGAGATTTCACGTGATCAAGTTTTACGTTATGTACAACTCGAATACACAAGGCAGACAAACTCCTGCCAACACTTAATATCCCCACCCCACCAACCAAGAAATACAATAGAAATGAAAGACTTAAAACATGCTGCAAACGGTAATTTCGTTTTATCTCTCTGCCGACACAAGTGAACAAAATCTATATTTTCATCTAGTTTCATCCCACATTATTAAGTTGAGAACCACTCGAGCACTCTCTTCTTATAAAACGATTTTAAGGGTGAATTCGTATATAGTTCTGATAGTTGCTATTACAGTACGGCATACACCCTCCTCCTAACAATTGCTATTCAATAAATTTGCTTAGTTGGCTCGACCTCACGAGGGCTACATCAGCGGTAGACTGGTTAGGTTTTGAAAAGAAGAAACTAACTNCAATAAATTTGCTTAGTTGGCTCGACCTCACGAGGGCTACATCAGCGGTAGACTGGTTAGGTTTTGAAAAGAAGAAACTAACTCGAACTGTATAATGCAAAACGTTATGTCAATACATTAACTTGATGGGACTTCACCCAATTATTGATTCTTGAATTGTTTAAATCCATTTTTTTTATCTTTTTTCCTTGAGAAACAGATAGTGTGATGAAGAATCCTCCGGCAAATGGTATGTTCTTGTCACTGTCTCTGGCATTTCGACATGTCTGTTAACCAGTGGATTTTCAGATTTTGAATGGCCAATATTCTTCTTCGGTCTCGACCAAAAATGCAGAAAATAACAAAGCTCTAAGTAATTCCAAGCTTGTACTTGGTACAAGACAAGAACACTTAATTCTTCTACAGAAATGTCTAGTACTATCTTTTGGATGCTTTGAGACTTGGTACACATCTTTTCCGGCCTGTTTCGATAAGGGATCTGGACATCATTAAAGAAAGTAAAACAATAGCTAAAAAATCTTATCTACAATACTGTTCCATGCTCTCGAGCAATTACCCTATTGCTATTGTGGATAACCTGATAAGACTAACAATCTAAGTAACAAAGGGAAGGAAAAAATGGTACAAGTTGGTAGGCTCAAATCAAAAAAAGAAAATACGACTCGAGTTCTCAAGTTTGGAATCGTGAAATTACATCACAACCTTCAGCCCGTAGCAAGTCGGTACTTAACCCCCATGGAACCTTGTTCCTGGTTAGCCCTCCCAACCCACCTTATCCGAAAGAGAATAATTCGTGAACCTTAAAAATAGTCAATCGACTCATAGTCATCATCTGGTAAACCAAACTTCTTGTCATATTGTACACACATTGTGGCTACTTTTAAGCGTGTTTCTCATTGAGCCAAGTTGCCCAATTAGAACTCTCATTAATTCAGCCAAATTTTTCCTCTATTTATCTTCTCTCCCTGCAGCAGTTTCATTGCTCATCAAACCATAGTAATTCCTGCCAAAAATTTCAAGATTCTGCCATACAAATTCTTCTCTTTAATCTTTTGTTCAATACCTATTTCTATTATGACAATGAATTCGACGTCCAATACAAGCATTTTACACAATCTTGGGGATACTTCTTTTCCTTCGTACTTAAATGGAGGGGAAGAAACCTTTGTGCTTAAACCAGTAGGCTCAAATCAAAGCCAAAATTGCTCCTCCTCCACCCCACATGAACCATTTCACCTTGCAAGAAAGAAAGGAGAAGACAGAGAAATTGACATTTTCACTGCTGATAAATATTTCAATGAGGAGCTAAATGATAGCCCAAAAACCAAGGAATTACCAAATCAGCAGAATAAGAAAAAAGACCCCATTCAAATATTTGATAGAAAAGAGAAAACTACGACACCAACTCGAAGTTCTCATTCTGAATCAAGTTGGAATAGTCGAAGCGCGTTATTGCATAATATTTCAAGAAATCAGCAGCCCTGCAGAAAGAGTAACAAGAAGAGCTTCCTGGCCAGCATTGGTTGCAACTGCTCGTGTAACGACAAGAATTCAGTACAAATTGATGATTATATGGGAGATAACTATCTTAACAAGAGCATTAGCAGCAGGGTGGATAATGGCAAAGCAATACAAGAGCTTGAAAACAATGACATCAGTACTAATAAGCAGGATTGGCAATGCAAAAAACTCGATGAAATACGAGTTAAGTTGAAGACAGATGATCATTTCAGCTTCCCAGTTTTTAACCCCAAGACTGGGAATCCAGCATTTAAAATGGAATTACAAGAAGCAAATGATAATTCGACCCGAAAATCTGTTGAAGTTTTTGGCTCCCAAATACTAGAGAATGGGAAGAATTCATCCATAGTCGAGAAAAAGTTAACCATGCTGAATTGGAATACAATTTCTCCAAGAGTGGAAGGCACTGAAATCCCGGAGAGTTCCACTGGAATGTACAATGACAGCGATAGCGATAAAAGTTCAGACTTATTTGAGATAGAAAGTTTGTCGAAAAATATCAATCCCTTTCTTACAGGGCATGAATCAGATGGCATTAGCATGTCCAGCTGCGTTACCCCCACAACCTGTTACGCACCTAGTGAAGCCAGCATAGAGTGGAGTGTCATCACTGCTAGCGCCGCTGGTTTCTCTGCCATATCAGACACCGAAGAGCTCAGATCAACCACAACCGGTGCTGCAGCCGCCACCACCATAGCATATCCCCAGAAGATGGTATTAAATCCGCCAAAATGGCATCGTCCAAGCATTCTTTCGGGTTGTAAAAGTCATACAGCTGTTAGAGTTGCAGGGGATGCATTTCCTAATGCAGGAAGGCATCGATCAGAGTCATTCACACCGTTGTCGAGATTTAATTCCGAGAGTAACCTAAAGGGGTTCGATAAACGAAACAGAAAACACTCTTTTGATGCAGGCGCTCTTTCTAGATCGCATTCAGGACGTGCAACACACGTGTTATATATTCAATAAATTGTACTTCGTAATATGTTCCTAAAGCATTTCCGTTGTTACCAAGTTATTAAGAGATGATAGATAATAATGAGCAGAATAAAGTAGCTTAAGTTCTCATGTAAGAGTGTATTTTTTTTTAATTACTTTTCTATAACATAAATAAACACATCTTGAGGGCTATATCACTTTAGAAACCACAATGTTAAAATAAGTTCACCAATAAAATTGGCAGTTAAGGAGTTAGTGCAAAGAGTGTTTTCTAGATATAGTGAATCAACTTCTTCAAGAAATAACTGGAGAAGAGGCTACTAGTTCAGTCGACATAGAAAAAGATCCGAACGAGGTAAGTGAAACAAAAGGGGTGCAAAGGGAACATAGATGAAGATGCTAGAGTAGAAGAAAAACAGAGAAAATACAAAATGATTTGTAAGTGATGTCTAAGTTCTTATTTTATTGAAAAGGAACGTGAACACAAGGCTGTGCAGGATTTCATACTTAAACACAACAAGGCCACACAAATTGCATAAAATCTGCAAGATGTCATGCCCTTCACATCTTCAATTTAATTGGGTCTGGATTCCATATAATCGGTTTTCATTACTGGGCTTTCCTTGCATGTTGATTTGCTATCATCATTGCGGGACTTTCCTTCCACTGAGATTTTCCTTTGCTGAGATGACTCATTGGTGGACTTTCCTTGCTACTAAGATGAGTGGTGCTAATACCCTCCCGCGAACTGTGCGGGGGATGGAGGCAGAGTTTGGTACGAAAGTGACCGAATGCTGCCTTAGACATTGGTTTAGTGAAGAGATCTGCAACTTGGTCACTAGTGGAGATATGTCGAATGACTAGTAGTCCTAGTGCAACTCGTTCTCGCACAAAATGGTAGTCAAGCTCGATGTGTTTGCTATGAGCATGGAATACAGGATTAATTGTCATATGAAGAGCACTGATGTTGTCATAGTAGAGTATTGGAGGGGAGACTATTGGAATACAGAGGTCTCTTAGAATAAAGGTCATCCATGTGAGTTTTGCTGTTGTATTGGCCATGGCACGGTACTTAGCTTTGATACTAGAGCATGAAATGGTGTGTCGTTTCTTAGCACACCATGAGATGAGATTACCTCCAAGGAATGTGTAGTAGCCTGTGGTGGAACGTCTAGTAGTAGGACAACCTGCCCAATCTGCATCCGAAAAAGCACATAGTTCAAATGTAGTTTGGGAATTAAAATGCAAACCCATGTCAATGGTTCCTTTGACATAACGAAGTATACAATGAATCATCTTTAAATGGGCCATAGTTGGGGCATGCATGAACTGAGACACATAGTTGACACTAAAGGAAAGATTGGGTCGTGTGAGTGTGAGTTACTGTAGGGAACCAACAAGTCCTTGAAAATAACTCTAGTTTTCTATAGGGTTGTTACTAGAGCTGGCTTTGGTCTTTGCTTCTAGTGGTGTACTCATTGGCTTACAATCTACCATGTTAGACCGTTCAAGAATGGTAAGGGCATAGTGTGACTGAGATAAGTGAATGACATTGGTTGTCTGTGAGATTTCTATCCCAAGAAAGTGATGGAGTGGTCCTAAATCTTTCATGGCGAATTCACTACTTAGTAGTTGAATGAAGGTCGTAAGAAGCTTGAAGCTGGAGCCAGTGAGAAGTATATCATCTACATAGAGAAGAAAAACTAGTGAGCTAACATCAGAATGGAAAACAAATAATGAAGGATCTGCTAAACTGAAAAAAAAAACCATATTTTAAAAGAAAAGCACTAAAACGATTGAACCAAGCACGTGGTGCTTGTTTGAGACCATTGAGAGCTCTCTGTAGTTTGCAAACATGTGTTGGATATTTAGGATCTGTCATTCCTGGTGGTTGTTCCATATAAATATTTTAAATAATTAATCCATGTAAGAAAGCATTTTTCACGTCAAGTTGATGAATAGACTAGTTCTGAACAAGAGCTATGGTGATGATCATAAGAATGGTTCCTGATTTCACAACTGGAGAGTAGGTTTCAGTGTAGTCAATCCCATCATTTTGATGGTAGCCTTTTGCCACAAGTTGAGCCTTAAGGCGATCTAGAGAACCATTAGGTTTGAGCTTTGGTTTGAAGACCCATTTGGAGCCAATAACATGTATGTCAGGGGTGCGAGGGACGAGTTTCCAGGTCTGGTTTGGATGGGGAGCCTCAAATTCTTCAACCATTGCATTTTTCTAGCTAGGATGTGCCAAAGCTGATATGATATTTGATGGTTCACGAGGAATAAACATTGATGATGTGATAGTTAAGGCATACTTAGGATTGGGTTTAACAATACCAAGTTTGGACCGAGTGAACATGAAGTGAGATATTGGTACTTGCTGAGGTTGAGTGGGATGAGGAGGCTTGATTTTGAGTTGTTCCGAATATGGACGCTGTGATGGTTGGGTATGGTCGAGAGATAGAATAGGATCAGGTTCAAGTTCAAGCTATTGTGTTTGAGGCAGTTCAAGCTCGGATCTAGATTGTGATGATTAAGGCAATTGAGGAGGCTCGACTTCAATTTGTTTCAAGTATGTATGCTTTGATGGTTGAATATGTTCGAGAGTAGGAATAGGTTCAGATTCAAGTTTAGGTTGTTGTGTTTGAGGCAGTTCAAGCTCAGGTTCAGATTGTGATGATTGAGGCTCAAGTGATGATGATGAATCTACAAGGCTTGTTGGGAAAGAAGCAAGTACTACAGGCAAGGAGGGTGGTGAGGAAAGAGATGATTGGGAATCATCCTTTGCATGGTGGGTGTCAATGTGTGGCAGCCAGGAGCCAAATATACTGATGATATGTGGTCTATGAGTGATTTTTGGTGAGCGGGCAGGTTTATATGGGAAGACTGTTTCATCAAACACAACATGTCGAGATATAAGGAAATTTTTTGTAGGATGATGAAAGCACTTATGACCCTTATGTTTATCACTATAACCTACAAAGATACAGAGAACAGATTTGGGATCAAATTTATGGCTTCATGTGTTCCACGTGTATGGAAAGCATTTTGATCCAAAAACACGAAGATAAGAGTGAATCAGATGAGTTCTATGTAATCTAAAAAAGCGAGTCTCAAAGTTAATGCTTGATGAAGGGATACGATTAAGAATATAAACAGCAGTTTGAAAGGCCTCAACCTACAGAAAGAGAAGAGCACCACAACGAAATAGCATAGTCATACCCAATTCTCGTATAATTCTATGGCGGCTTCCAACCATACCTGTTTGTTTTGGTGTATATGGGCAACATACCCGATGCAATGTCCCTGTTGATAGGAAATGTGAGGATAGTTTTGAGTTTATGAATTCACCGCCTCCATCTGAGTGAAAATTTTTGATCTGCTTGTTGAATTGTTTTGCAACATTCTGTTCAAAGGCTAAATATGTAGTAACAAAATTTGATTTATGTGGTAAGAGAATAATCCTTGTGTAAAAAGTCATCTACCAAACAAGCACGATATCTGAACTTTTGAATAGATAAAACTGGGGCAGGTCCCCACAAGTCACAATGAATTTTATCAAAAATACTAGAACTAAAATGCTCAGAACTAGAAAAAGGTAATTTATTGAGTTTTCCCAATTGACAACTATCACACACATGTTTAGATTTAATGGCTCCTGTGATATCAATCCGTCTTTTATCTTTATGTTGGTAACAAACTTCTGCTAAGCCGGATTTGAAGCGATAAGACAAATAAGATTCTGGGGAATTGGAGACAACATAAAGATCACCCTTGCGCCTCCCTGTTAACAATGGTTCTCCTATTTGCCTTTCCTTACCAACAAAATTGAGATAAGAAAATTAACAGTTGACAAGAAATTGTTTAGTTAATTGTCCAATAGAGAGCAAATTCTTAGTTAATTTAGGAACTAACAAAATATCTTGCAAAGGTAAAGTAATTCGTTTTTTAATAATACTAGAATCACCTATCCTGACAATTGGTAAGGAAGAACCATCTCCTATAAGAACAGAAACTGGCCCAACGTACTGACGAATATTAGTTAACATACCTGGCTCACCTGTCATAGGTTGGATGCTCTAGTATCTGATGTCCATTCTGTATCAGTGATCGTGTTGTCCAAGGTAAGTGCTGCAAGAGCTTGTGGAATATCTTCCTGATCAGTGTGCTTCTTGGGCACCCATTAGCAAGTTTTTGCAATATGACCGATGGTTCCACAGTATTGAAATTGTTCGTTACTATATTGGTCTCTCTCGGCAGGGGTCATTCGTCGTTCACCTGGTCGTGGCGGGCGACGTTGTGGTAGAGTAGAGTTTTGGTTTTCAGAATAGTTTCGACCGGAGTCCTTTGATTGTTGTGCCTGGAATCCACGACCACTGGATGTAAATTTAGGTGTGTGGCCCCGATATTTAGATGATGAGGGCTGTGGCGAATGTTATTGATGTTGCCTATAAAATGCCAACTGATGAGTGAGTTGTAAAGTTGGTGATTCCGTATGGTTCGAAAACCAATTGCACCACTGATCAAAGTTTTGAAGCTGTGATACTAGCTCTGAGTATGATGGTCTTGGGGGTTTTAGCATGGTGGTGGTGAAAGTTTCATACTGAGGTCCAAGACTAGTGAGGAGACCAAAAACTTTTTCTTTATCAGGGACTAGTTTTCCAATGGCAACAAGATTATCGCACAGGCCTTTGAATATGCAAATGTGATCTGCAATGGATTCGTTGTCTTCCTTGCGAAGATATGTTAATTGCTGACGGAGTGTGAATTCACGTTCTTGTGAATCTTGAGCATATGCTATTTTAAGTGCTTCCCACACTACATAAGTTGTTTTTAGCCCAACAGTGAGTCCAAGACTTTCTTCAGAGAGTGTACCGATGATCCATCCTCGAAGCAAACAATCAGACTTTCTCCAAGATATGAATTCTTCAATTAGTTTAGGTGTAAAATAGTCTGTTGTAGCATTGTTTGGATCAATGTTTGGTGTGATGTATTTAGTGGGAGCTGTGTCTTCATTAATGAGATGACCAACCAACTCTTAGCTTTCTGCAAGGGCTAAGGCTTGTTCACGCCACAGGGGATAATTGTTTGGGGTGAGTTTGAATGTAATGAAATTCCCAACGTTAAGAGATAGTGAAGTCATGGCTGAAGGGAAGAGATGAATGGTGCCAAGTGTTCACAGAGACTTTGATACCAAGAAGAAAAACAGAGAAAACACAAAATGATTTGTAACTGAAGCCGAAGTTCTTATTTTATTGAAAAGGAACATGAACACAAGGTTGTATAGGATTTCATATTTAAAAACAACAAGGCCACAGAAATTGCATAAAATCTGCAAGATGTCATGCCCTTCACATCTTCAATTTAATTGGGTCTAGATTCCATATAATCGGTTTTCATTACTGGACTTTCCTTGCATGTTGATTTACTATCATCATTGCTGGACTTTCCATTCTAGGTGGATGTATTTCCTTATTGCTGAGATGAATCATTGCTGGACTTTCCGTCCATTGAGATTTTCCTTTGTTGAGATGACTCATTGCTTGACTTTCCTTGCTACTGAGATGAGTGGTGCTAATAAGAGTTGGGGTTACAGACAGACGTTGGCGTGCTCTTGATTCTTGTAGTGAAGCTAACAATGAGCCTACCAAATATTACATGCGATATATCACAAGGAGGAATATTTCGAGGTCACACGAGATTTAATTTTTTGTTATCTTTAGCTTGCTGTCTTCGCAACTCGTTAAGTTATTACATTCTTGTCTTTTGACTGAAGATTCTTTATTTTTGAATTGTTTGGAAGGTTCAAAAGAAAGACCTTGCTGTTTCTTCAACTATTTATGATCTCTATTGAACCTCTTGGTAGGATTCAAATTCATTTGAAGTTCTTACCATCTATCATATAAGATCGAACTGGTCCTTCATTTCCATGAAATTCTTCGATTTTTACTTGACACAGTGGATCACGTTCTATAAATAGCTAAGCCATTGAGCAATATCTAGAGAGGCGAGATGTATGTCCCCTCCTAAGATTATACTTCTATTATGAATTAGTACTCCACCAATGCAGTGATTTAAAAAAAAAAAAAAAAAAAAAAAAAAAAAAAATTGAATCTTATTTAAGATATTTTCTCTAAATTTTGTAGTCATCACCAGTTCTTTCATTCCTGTACTACAACAAAAATGACATTTTACAACACGAAAAAGGCAACATATGTTAATTGATTATTGTTAAAGGGGTCTATCGCAATATTCTAATAAGTGATAGTCGAAATTTATCAATTTAATATAAAGTGGATCACAACAATATTGATAATGAAACTTATTAAGTAAAGAATGAGTACGATGACGACACACTGCCCTAATAAAAGTCAAAACCAACAACAGTAGGCTGTATGGATGTCTTTATTTATTTATTTTTTAAAAGAAAAAGAAAAAAGAAAAATTAGGCTGCAGTCCATTCTATAACCACCTTATTAATGGCGGGGCCCTCTTCTAGGTGACAATCAGCACCAAAATGGGCATGAGGACTCCTATCATCTAATGTCATTTGATAAACTTCACACATCACTTAACATTTCCAGTGTGTTTGGATTGGGGGACAGGGACAGGATTGAAAGGAAAGGTTTGAGAAGAATAAGTTGAAAACTATTGCTTCAGTTTATCTTCTCTGGATAATGGGAGGAAAAACCACCTCCGATTTCTAATTAATGTTACAAGACCTGGGACGGAAATTGGTGAACCTGTAAAGATAACTCAAGAATCGGCCGTTCATTTTGAAAATATAAGAGCTTAAATCCTAGACCTTTTAACCTTTTGTGCCCGATATATTCAAAGCATTTTTTGTAATTTTCCTTCTGTTTTTCCTACTATTTAAGCATGTTAGAACAAAAATGAATCCTTATGTTCGTTTCTCTTGTTGATCGATGCATGAAATAAACCTAGATCTAGATAAAAGGCTTATAGAGGAAAATCCATAGTCTTTACATTCGATGTATACACTTGTGATCGTTAACCAGGCATTACGATCATCAAAGATGGATATTTCGTTATCTTGGACAACTTGATGGATGTAATACCTAAATTTCCAGATTGAACTGTATAATGCAAAACGTTATGTCAATACATTAACTTGATGGGACTTCACCCAATTATTGATTCTTGAATTGTTTAAATCCATTTTTTTTTTCTTTTTTCCTTGAGAAACAGATAGTGTGATGAAGAATCCTCCGGCAAATGGTATGTTCTTGTCACTGTCTCTGGCATTTCGACATGTCTGTTAAGCAGTGGATTTTCAGATTTTGAATGGCCAATATTCTTCTTCGGTCTCGACCAAAAATGCAGAAAATAACAAAGCTCTAAGTAATTCCAAGCTTGTACTTGGTACAAGACAAGAACACTGAATTCTTCTACAGAAATGTCTAGTACTATCTTTTGGATGCTTTCAGACTTGGTACACATCTTTTCCGGCCTGTTTCGATAAGGGATTTGGACATCATTAAAGAAAGTAAAACAATAGCTAAAAAATCTTATCTACAATACTGTTCCATGCTCTCGAGCAATTACCCTATTGCTATTGTGGATAACCTGATAAGACTAACAATCTAAGTAACAAAGGGAAGAAAAAAATGGTACAAGTTGGTAGGCTCAAATCAAAAAAAGAAAATACGACTCGAGTTCTCAAGTTTGGAATCGTGAAATTACATCACAACCTTCAGCCCGTAGCAAGTCGATACTTAACCCCCATGGAACCTTGTTCCTGGTTAGCCCTCCCAACCCACCTTATCAGAAAGAGAATAATTCGTGAACCTTAAAAATAGTCAATCGACTCATAGTCATCATCTGGTAAACCAAACTTCTTGTCATATTGTACACACATTGTGGCTACTTTTAAGCGTGTTTCTCATTGAGCCAAGTTGCCCAATTAGAACTCTCATTAATTCAGCCAAATTTTTCCTCTATTTATCTTCTCTCCCTGCAGCAGTTTCATTGCTCATTAAACCATAGTAATTCCTGCCAAAAATTTCAAGATTCTGCCATACAAATTCTTCTCTTTAATCTTTTGTTCAATACCTATTTCTATTATGACACTGAATTCGACGTCCCATACAAGCATTTTACACAATCTTGGGGATACTTCTTTTCCTTCGTACTTAAATGGAGGGGAAGAAACCTTTGTGCTTAAACCAGTAGGCTCAAATCAAAGCCAAAATTCCTCCTCCTCCACCCCACATGAACCATTTCACCTTGCAAGAAAGAAAGGAGAAGACAGAGAAATTGACATTTTCACTGCTGATAAATATTTCAATGAGGAGCTAAATGATAGCCCAAAAACCAAGGAATTACCAAATCAGCAGAATAAGAAAAAAGACCCCATTCAAATATTTGATAGAAAAGAGAAAACTTCGACACCAACTCGAAGTACTCATTCTGAATCAAGTTGGAATAGTCGAAGCGCGTTATTGCATAATATTTCAAGAAATCAGCAGCCCTGCAGAAAGAGTAACAAGAAGAGCTTCCTGGCCAGCATTGGTTGCAACTGCTCGTGTAACGACAAGAATTCAGTACAAATTGATGATTATATGGGAGATAACTATCTTAACAAGAGCATTAGCAGCAGGGTGGATAATGGCAAAGCAATACAAGAGCTTGAAAACAATGACATCAGTACTAATAAGCAGGATTGGCAATGCAAAAAACTCGATGAAATACGAGTTAAGTTGAAGACAGATGATCATTTCAGCTTCCCAGTTTTTAACCCCAAGACTGGGAATCCAGCATTTAAAATGGAATTACAAGAAGCAAATGATAATTCGACCCGAAAATCTGTTGAAGTTTTTGGCTCCCAAATACTAGAGAATGGGAAGAATTCATCCATAGTCGAGAAAAAGTTAACCATGTTGAATTGGAATACAATTTCTCCAAGAGTGGAAGACACTGAAATCCCGGAGAGTTCCACTGGAATGTACAATGACAGTGATAGCGATAAAAGTTCAGACTTATTTGAGATAGAAAGTTTGTCGAAAAATACCAATCCCTTTCTTACAGGGCATGAATCAGATGGCATTAGCATGTCCAGCTGCGTTACCCCCACAACCTGTTACGCACCTAGTGAAGCCAGCATAGAGTGGAGTGTCATCACTGCTAGCGCCGCTGGTTTCTCTGCCATATCAGAAACCGAAGAGCTCAGATCAACCACAACCGGTGCTGCAGCCGCCACCACCATAGCATATCCCCCGAAGATGGTATTAAATCCGCCAAAATGGCGTCGTCCAAGCATTCTTTCGGGTTGTAAAAGTCATACAGCTGTTAGAGTTGCAGGGGATGCATTTCCTAATGCAGGAAGGCATCGATCAGAGTCATTCACACCGTTGTCGAGATTTAATTCCGAGAGTAACCTAAAGGGGTTCGATAAACGAAACAGAAAACACTCTTTTGATGCAGGCGCTCTCTCTAGATCGCATTCCGGACGTGCAACACACCTGTTATATATTCAATAAATTGTACTTCGTAATATGTTCCTAAAGCATTTCCGTTGTTACCAAGTTATTAACAGATGATAGATAATAATGAGCAGAATAAAGTAGCTTAAGTTCTCATGTAAGAGTGTATTTTTTTTTTTATTACGTTTCTATAACATAAATTAACACATCTTGAGGGCTATATCACTTTAGAAACCACAATGTTAAAATAAGTTCACCAATAAAATTGGCAGTTAAGGAGTTAGTGCAAAGAGTGTTTTCTAGATATAGTGAATCAACTTCTTCAAGAAATAACTGGAGAAGAGGCTACTAGTTCAGTCGACATAGAAAAAGATCCGAACGAGGTAAGTGAAACAAAAGGGGTGCAAAGGGAACATAGATGAAGATGCTAGAGTAGAAGAAAAACAGAGAAAATACAAAATGATTTGTAAGTGATGTCTAAGTTCTTATTTTATTGAAAAGGAACGTGAACACAAGGCTGTGCAGGATTTCATACTTAAACACAACAAGGCCACACAAATTGCATAAAATCTGCAAGATGTCATGCCCTTCACATCTTCAATTTAATTGGGTCTGGATTCCATATAATCGGTTTTCATTACTGGGCTTTCCTTGCATGTTGATTTGCTATCATCATTGCGGGACTTTCCTTGCTAGGTGGATGAATTTCCTTATTGCTGAGATGAATCATTGCTGGACTTTCCTTCCACTGAGATTTTCCTCTGCTGAGATGACTCATTGATGGACTTTCCTTGCTACTAAGATGAGTGGTGCTAATACCCTCCCGCAAACTGTGCGGGGGATGGAGGCGGAGTTTGGTACGAAAGTGACCTAATGCTGCCTTAGACATTGGTTTAGTGAAGAGATCTGCAACTTGGTCACTAGTGGAGATATGTCGAATGACTCGTAGTCCTAGTGCAACTCGTTCTCGCACAAAATGGTAGTCAAGCTCGATGTGTTTGCTATGAGCATGGAATACAGGATTAATTGTCATATGAAGAGCACTGATGTTGTCACAGTAGAGTATTGGAGGGGAGACTATTGGAATACAGAGGTCTCTTAGAATAAAGGTCATCCATGTGAGTTTTGCTGTTGTATTGGCCATGGCACGGTACTTAGCTTTGTTACTGGAGCATGAAATGGTGTGTTGTTTCTTAGCACACCATGAGATGAGATTACCTCCAAGGAATGTGTAGTAGCCTGTGGTGGAACGTCTAGTAGTAGGACAACCTGCCCAATCTGCATCCGAAAAAGCACACAGATCAAATGTAGTTTGGGAATTAAAATGCAAACCCATGTCAATGGTTCCTTTGACATAACGAAGTATACAATGAATCATCTTTAAATGGGCCATAGTTGGGGCATGCATGAACTGAGACACATAGTTGACACTAAAGGAAAGATTGGGTCGTGTGAGTGTGAGTTACTGTAGGGAACCAACAAGTCCTTGAAAATAACTCTAGTTTTCTAGAGGGTTGTTACTAGAGCTGGCTTTGGTCTTTGCTTCTAGTGGTGTACTCATTGGCTTACAATCTACCATGTTAGACCGTTCAAGAATGGTAAGGGCATAGTGTGACTGAGATAAGTGAATGCCATTGGTTGTCTGTGAGATTTCTATCCCAAGAAAGTGATGGAGTGGTCCTAAATCTTTCATGGCGAATTCACTACTTAGTAGTTGAATGAAGGTCGTAAGAAGCTCGAAGCTGGAGCCAGTGAGAAGTATATCATCTACATAGAGAAGAAAAACTAGTGAGCTAACATCAGAATGGAAAACAAATAATGAAGGATCTGCTAAACTAAAAAAAAAACCATATTTTAAAAGAAAAGCACTAAAACGATCGAACCAAGCACGTGGTGCTTGTTTGAGACCATAGAGAGCCCTCTGTAGTTTGCAAACATGTGTTGGATATTTAGGATCTGTCATTCCCAGTGGTTGTTCCATATAAATATTTTCAAAAATTAATCCATGTAAGAAAGCATTTTTCACGTCAAGTTGATGAATAGACCAGTTCTGAACAAGAGCTATGGTGATGATCATAAGAATGGTTCCTGATTTCACAACTGGAGAGTAGGTTTCAGTGTAGTCAATCCCATCAATTTGATGGTAGCCTTTTGCCACAAGTCGAGCCTTAAGGCTATCTAGAGAACCATTAGGTTTGAGCTTTGGTTTGAAGACCCATTTGGAGCCAATAACATGTATGTCAAGGGTGCGAGGGACGAGTTTCCAGGTCTGGTTTGGATGGAGAGCCTCAAATTCTTCAACCATTGCATTTTTCTAGCTAGGATGTGCCAAAGCTGATATGATATTTGATGGTTCACGAGGAATAACCATTGATGAAGTGATAGTTAAAGCATACTTAGGATTGGGTTTAACAATACCAAGTTTGGACTGAGTGAACATGAAGTGAGATATTGGTACTTGCTGAGGTTGAGTGGGATGAGGAGGCTCGATTTCGAGTTGTTCCGAATATGGACGCTGTGATGGTTGGGTATGGTCTAGAGTATGAATAGGATCAGGTTCAAGTTCAGGCTATTGTGTTAAAGACAGTTTAAGCTCGGATCCAGATTGATGAGGCTCGGCTTCAATTTGTTTCAAGTTTGTATGCTGTGATGGTTGGGTATGTTTGAGAGTAGGAAAAGGTTCAGATTCAAGTTTAGGTTGTTGTGTTTGAGGCAGTTCAAGCTCAAGTTCAAATTGTGATGATTGAGGCCCAAGTGATGATGATGAATCTACAAGGCTTGTTGGGAAAGAAGCAGGTACTACAGGTAAGGCGGGTGGTGAGGAAAGAGATGATTGGGAATCATCCTTTGCATGGTGGGTGTCAATGTGTGGCAGCCAAGAGCCAAATATACTGATGACATGTGGTATAGGAGTGATGTTTGGTGAGTGGGCAGGTTTATATGGGAAGACTGTTTCATCAAACACAACATGCCAAGATATAAGGAATTTTTTGTAGGATGATGAAAGCACGTATAACCCTTATGTTTATCATTATAACCTACAAAAGCACAGAGAACATATTTGGGATCAAATTTATGGCGTCGTGTGTCCCACGTGTATGGAAAGCATTTTGATCCAAAAACACGAAGAGAAGAGTAAATCAAATGAGTTCTATGTAATCTAAAAAAGGAAGTCTCAAAGTTAATGCTTGATGAAGGGATACGATTAAGAAGATAAATAGCAGTTTGAAAGGCCTCAACCTACAGAAAGAGAGGAGCGCTGCAACGAAATAGCATAGTCATATCCAATTCTCGTATAATTCTATGGCGGCTTTCAACCATACCTGTTTATTCTGATGTATATGGGCAACATACCTGATGCAATGTCCCTATTGATAGGAAATGTGAGGGTAGTTTTGGGTTTATGAATTCATCGCCTCTATTTGAGTGAAAAATTTTGATCTGCTTGTTGAATTGCTTTGCAACATACTGTTCAAAGGCTAAATATGTAGTAACAAAATCTGATTTATGTTGTAAGAGAATAATCCTTGTGTATTTAGAAAATTCATCTACCAAACAAGCATAATATCTGAACTTTTGAATAGATAAAACTGGGGTAGGTCCCCTCCCCACAAGTCACAATGAATTTTATCAAAAATACTAGAACTAAAATGCTCAGAACTAGAAAAAGGTGATCTACTGAGTTTTCCCAATTGACAACTATCACACGCATGTTTAGATTTTATGGCTCCTGTGATATCAATCAGTCTTTTATCTTTATGTTGGTGCCAAACTTCTGCTAAGCCGGATTTGAAGTGATAAGAAAAATAAGATTCTGGGGAATTGGAGACAACATAAAGATCACCTTTGCGCCTCCCTGTTAACAATGGTTCTCCTATTTGCCTTTCCTTAACAACAAAATTGACATAAGAAAATTAACAGTTGACAAGAAATTGTTTAGTTAATTGTCCAATAGAGAGCAAATTCTTAGTTAATTTAGGAACTAACAAAATATCTTGCAAAGGTAAAGTAATTCGTTTTTTAATAATACTAGAATCACCTATCCTGACAATTGGTAAGGAAGAACCATCTCCTATAAGAACAGAATCTGGCCCAACGTACTAACGAATATTAGTCAACATACTTGGCTCACCTGTCATAGGTTGGATGCTCCAGTATCTGATGTCCATTCTGTATCAGTGATCATGTTGTCCAAGGTAAGTGCTGCAAGAGCTTGTGGAATATCTTCCTGATCAGTGTGCTTCTTGGGCACCCATTAGCAAGTTTTTGCAATATGACCGATGGTTCCACAGTATTGAAATTGTTCGTTACTATATTGGTCTCTCTCGGCAGGGGTCATTCGTCGTTCACCTGGTTGTGGCGGGCGACGTTGTGGTGGAGTAGAGTTTTGGTTTTCAGAATAGTTTCGACCGGAGTCCCTTGATTGTTGTGCCTGGAATCCACGACCACTGGATGTAAATTTAGGTGTGTTGCCCCGATATTTAGATGATGAGGGCTGTGGTGAATGTTGTTGATGTTGCCTATAAAATGCCAACTGATGAGTGAGTTGTAAAGTTGGTGATTCCGTGTGGTTCGAAAACCAATTGCACCACTGATCAAAGTTTTGAAGCTGTGATACTAGCTCTGAGTATGATGGTCTTGGGGGTTTTAGCATGGTGGTGGTGAAAGTTTCATACTGAGGTCCAAGACTAGTGAGGAGACCAAAAACTTTTTCTTTATCAAGGACTAGTTTTCCAATGGCAACAAGATTATCGCACAGGCCTTTGAATATGCAAATGTGATCTACAATGGATTCATTGTCTTCCTTGCGAAGATATGTTAATTGCTGACGGAGTGTGAATTCACGTTCTTGTGAATCTTGAGCATATGCTATTTTAAGTGCTTCCCACACTACATAAGTTGTTTTTAGCCCAACAGCGAGTCCAAGACTTTCTTCAGAGAGTGTACTGATGATCCATCCTCGAAGCAAACAATCAGACTTTCTCCAAGATATGAATTCTTCAATTAGTTTAGGTGTAAAATTGTCTGTTGTAGCATTGTTTGGGTCAATGTTTGGTGTGGTGTATTTAGTGGGAGCTGGGTCTTCATTAGTGAGATGACCAACCAACTCTTGGCTTTCTACAAGGGCTAAGGCTTGTTCACG